TATAAATCAGACAACATACCTAAACAATGTTTTGAAACGATTCGACATGCTGGATTGCAAGCCATGCTCTACTCCTATGGATCAAAATTTTCGGCACGATGACTTTAAACGAAATTGTTCAGAGAACGTAGATATCGAGAATAAATGTAGAAGGGCTTAAGTTCTTTAATGTATGCCATGTTGTGTTCAAGGCCCGACATGCATTTCGATAAGCATTTTAAGTCGCTACCAGTCTTGTGCTAGTTCTCAGCTATGGCAAGCAATCAAGCGAGTCTTACGTTATGTTCAAAATACATTAAAATTATCATTAGTCTTTTATAGAAACGATTTTAAAAATTTGATCGAAGGCTATGCTGACTCAGACTGGGCAGGCGATCGAGTGGACCGGAAGTCAACCTCAGGGTATATTTTTAAAGTTTTTGGCTGTTTAATCAGCTGGTCGTCACGTAAACAAGCTTCAGTCGCTCTTTCGTCTACCGAGGCAGAGTATGTAGCCTTAAGCCTTGCGATAAGTGAAGCTTGTTGGCTTAGAGGCTTGATTTTCGACTTTAAATTATACGATCTCAATGTGCTGAGTGTTCTGATATTCGAAGACAACCAATCTGCAATTAAAGTTTGTCGAAACCCCGAGTTTCATAAGAGGCTCAAGCATGTTGATACTTGTTACCATTTTATAAGGGACAAAGTTAAAGATAAAATTGTCATTTTAAAATATATTCCAACCAATATGCAAATTGCGGATTTCTTTACAAAACCTTTATCTTTGGCTTTGTTTAATAGTTTTCGTGTAGCGGAGTGAAAACGGCTGCGAAATCTTTCAAAAAAAAAATTGAGCGTAGAACCAATTGAGACCTATATAGTATTATTCAGAATTTTACTGGCCATCTGAAATGCAAATTCACGACATCCTCAGTTGGGGCTGACTCATTTTATAGCAAAAAATATATGAAAAATGACAAAATTATGAAAACTTACTTTTTGACATATAACTCACGATATCTTCAAAAGTATTCAAACTATTGTAATGATTTTTTTTTGTTGAAAAGGAGACACTTTCGCGGTTGTAACAGTGTATGACAGGTAGTGATTGTGACCTCTATTTTTTTTAAAAATAAATAGTAATATTAACAATCATTTTTTCTGTATTGCTTTTTTCAGCAATCGAAAAACTTTTTTATTTTTGAAAATTTTACCATATATCCTGCGAGTGAATTGAAGTAAAAAGTATATAGAAGTTTTAAAAAAAAAAATGAGTCAGTTATCTGTTATACTTTTTGAGATATTTGAATTTGAAATTTCAAAAGAGACGCGGCCGGCCGACCAGTTGACTCGAAAATCAAGCGCGACTGCGTTCCGGGGTGGGCATCAATGCAGGGAAAGGCGTGGAATTTATTTTTTGAATTTGTTTTTAGTTTTTGTGGAACAACATACATATTATTGAATAATAACTACGATTTATGTGTCATATGAATCTTGCATATTAGGCACTTTGCATCAATTTTTTTATTGCTGATTTCGTTTGTCATTAAAAAATAATTCAACACGTGTTCTTTCTTTTTCTTGTTAGACAAAAATTGACGGAGATACAACGCTTTGAAATGTGCTTATTTTTGATATCCTATGACGTCACTCCATGCTGAGTAAACCTATATGTACAAAACTTAATCTTTGAATAACTTTCGGAATATTCATATTTGGACAAAATAAAAAAATACGTATAGTCGTATAGATTTTTTTCCGATTTCCTACAGTTTGTAGTAAACAGTTATCAATTTAATTTTTCATGCAAGGTGCCTATTTTGCATTTGCACTCAGTACAGCATTTTAATCCCTGAGTCACACAAATGCATCTGCTGGCATTGCAGGTTTTGTCGGAACAGCGAATGTATAAAATTTTTAGTAAATTACCTGGCACAGGGTCTTACTTGCTTTTTTTATTGCCGATTTCGTTTGTCAATAAAAGATTAGTCAACACGTGTTTTTTATTTTTTTTGTCAGGCAAAAATTGACGGAGATTCAACGCTTTGAAATGTACTTATTTTTCATATCCTATGACGTCACACCATGCTCACTATATCGATATATACAAAACTTAATATTTGTATAACTTTCGGAATAATCATATTTGGACAAAATAAAAAAATACGTATAGATTTTTTTTCGATTTCCTACGGTTTGCAATAAACAGTTATCAATTTAATTTTTCATGCAAGGTCCCTATTGATATAAACACCTAAAATATAACTTTCTGCTGCCGTGCGGTTGGTCGTAAAAAAACACCGCATTTCATTAAGAATCATAATGTCCTTATTTTCATTTTTGTATCATTGTATCATTTTCTTCTTCGCTTAAATTAGGAAGATTTCCTATTTCTGCTAGTAGATTAATATTCCTTGACTTCAGAATGATTGAAATACTGTACACTGTACTCAACCTCTGCTCTCTGCTAAAACGTGAAGAATTATCCGGGTGTCGGCTTCCTGTTGATTGCTGTTTAATGACGATACATTTTTTCGATAATCGGATCTTTTTTTTTTTTGCAGTTAAAAACAACGCCTTATTTGGATTTTCAAATCCTCCGGCTTTAATAAATGTTTTATCGTCTTTTAATAATATCTACTGAGCTGTTCTGTACGAAGTATTTGGTTAAAAAATTTAACAAGGAGGTTTTATTGGTAGAAGATTTGAGAAAAATCTCAAATTAGGTAGGTCCTTTCCTTGATCCAGGAACTTGGAATTCGGGTGTGTCTGAATTTTCACGTCTACATCTTTCAGTGTTCTTAAGCAAATTACCATCATATATGTATCAAATTCGAAAATTTTTTGAGCCGTATTTTTTTCCTTCTTTTAAAATTTTGCCAAGAAATATTCGTCCAAAGTCATTGAATGTTTTAATCAAAGATAAATTTACTTCCCGAATTAAAACCATTCCATCAATAACATGGAAGTTGACATCAGTGGCGGCTCGTCTGAGGAAAAAGCTACAAAATGTATTCTTATATAATTTTAACACCCCCATAAAAAAATTCCCTACGATGTTCATTTTTTTTTTGGGCTGCCTCCCGTAAAATAAAAGTCACGGGCCGCCACTGGTTGACATTGGTGGTGATAATAAACAGCAAAATCGTAGTTATTATTCAATAATATGTATGTTGTTCCACGAAAACTAAAAACAAATTCAAAAAATAAATTCCACGCCTTTCCCTGCATTGATGCCCGCCCTGGAACGCAGTCGCGCTTGATTTTCGAGTCAACTGGTCGGCCGGCCGCGTCTCTTTTGAAATTTCAAATTCAAATATCTCAAAAAGTATAACAGATAACTGACTCATTTTTTTTTAAAAAACTTCTATATACTTTTTACTTCAATTCACTCGCAGGATATATGGTAAAATTTTCAAAAATAAAAAAGTTTTTCGACTGCTGAAAAAAGCAATGCAGAAAAGATGATTGTCAATATTACTATTTATTTAAAAAAAAAATAGAGGTCACAATGAATACTTGTCATACACTGTTACAACCGCTAAAGTGTCCTCTTTTCAACAAAAAAAAAATCATTTCAATAGTTTGAATACTTTTGAAGATATCGTGAGTTATATGTCAAAAAGTAAGTTTTTATAATTTTGTCATTTTTCATAAATTTTTTGCTATAAAATGAGTCAGCCCCAACTGAGGATGTCGTGAATTTGCATTTCAGATGGCCAGTAAAATTCTGAATAATGCTATATAAGTCTCGTTTGGTTCTACCTTGAAAAAAAAAAATCCAGAAAGAAGCGTCTTTCGCCGGCGTTTTTACTCCGCTAGTGGTAAATGTAATCTAGAATAGGTTTTCTTTTGGATTAACATAAATAGGAAATATTTGAGAAATTTTCATATGAGAATCAACATTTTTCTATTTATGTTTATGTTATTTATTTTTTATATACTTACCTATTTTACCATTGAGGGGTGGTATTAAAGGTATACCTGTATTATAGGTATACCTGTAACGTCAATGGTAAACCTTGTGTTTTTATGTTATTTTTTATTTTTATTTTTATTTTTTTTTGGGATTAATTTTCGAGAAACATCGATTGCCAAAAACCGTATCACGATATCTTCAATGGTAACATCGATACAGGGCGATTTTCGATTTTCCCCTATTATGAAAAATAGCTATAAGTTCTTCATTTATCTTTTTTTTTTATTTCTGTAAAAACATTATGGAGACACTTTTTTGAGCACAATCCAGTGGCGGACTCAGTTTTTTTCTATATGGCTCCGATTTCGAGATATCGACCAAGGTCCGATATTTTCAAATGAAATACCCTATATATTAAAAGCTCAATGTGTTAGAAAAGGATTTTATATGTGTAAGGAAAATGAGGAAGGTCTCTTTCTTACGCATAGTTTCTTATTACAAAAACAGATATAATTTTTTTTTCTCGAAAACTGTTAGAGATAAACCTATCGAACTTTATATAATTGAAATCAGCAAAAACGAAGCTATCCAATGATCTATTAATATATAGGGTATTTCATTTGAAAATATAGGACTTTGGTCGATATCTCGAAATCGGAGCGATATAGAAAAAAACTGAGTCCGCCACTGGATTGTGCTCAAAAAAGTATCTCCATAATGTTTTTACAGAAATAAAAAAAATTGATAAATAAAAAACTTATAGCTATTTTTCATAATAGGGGAAAATCGAAAATCACCCTGTATCAGTGGTACCATTGAAGATATCGTGATACGGTTTTTAGCAATCGACGTTTCTCGAAAATTAATCCCATGACACCTAAGTCAGTTTTCCTCTATCTGGTCTGGAAGTATGTTTTTCTTGTTAAAACACTCCAAATTGCAGCACCCTGTACAGCAATATCATTGTTATTTGAAATGAGAAAATAGACTCTGTAAGTATTTGAACCATTCAAACTTACTGTATCCAATGTATTCATACTTATGGCTTCGGTTTTGTTTATTGCATTACTTCATGATACTAAAATATATGTATAAAGTTTACCTGTTGCAATTTCTTTTTTTCTTTTTTGCTAAGTTTAGGTTTAACTTCTTGTTTGACCTCTTCCTCTTCAACATCATCTTCATCCTCAGAAGATTCTTCTTCGTCTTCACCTTCTACCTCTTCTCCTTCATCACTATCAGCCTAATAAAAATAAAATAATTAATTTATAAAAAAATTGAAACATTCTTTATTACCTCTTCGTCACCATTTTCTTCTTCTAATTGATAATCATCATCATCAGACTCCTCTTCTTCAGCATCATTTAAAAGCTGGAATCCATTCAATTTCGCTTTTTTTGCTGGGGCTGCAAAAACCACATTATTTATTTTAGTTGAACAAAATTTATTGAAGAAAAAAAACTCACGCGTATCTTTAACTGCCTTCTTTTTCTTTCTCTTATCTCCAACTTCCTCTGCAATTTCCTCTTCATCAGCTTCTTCCTCCTCTTGTTCCTCTAAATCTTCAAGGCTTAATCCATCCTCATCCTCAAACTCAGTTAAATATCCACTAAGATGAATATAGGCTTTGCCATTTGTTGCAAAGGAGACTTCTGTGCCCTCCTGGAATAAAATTCGTCTTCAAATTCTAGAAGCAATAAAAAATAAATGGAAACTTACTTTAAAGTCTAAATCCAGTGCACATTGGAGCAAATCTGGATTTTTTAGGGTGCATAACAAATAATTTCTGTCTTTGTATCTGCACATTACTTGAGCTGGTCCATTTTCTGAAGTGTTCATATCCAAAGATGCCATAGATATATGAAAAGATCTCTTTACTATTTGGGTATAACGCCTGTCTGGCTCCATAATCAAACCTGTAAAATAATGGTGGATTAGCTGGATGAACAAAATATTATTAAGGATTGGTTTCATGTGCATCCCTAGCACTTTCATACATTTACTCTATCATAAGTTTACTGGAAGATCTACTAGTAATTTGAAATCATTGAAAACAGACAAAACCGTTCAATTAACAGATTTTTGAGATTTTATTCATTATCAGAGCAGATTGATCTTGAGCATTGATTTTCGAAAATCACATTTTTTTGATGAAAATAGAAGGGGAGTGTTCCACAGAAATCACAGAGAACTTTTGCTAGATTTAGCTTGTGGAAAGGCTCTACTGGCGGTTCTATGGATGGGGGAAAGAGGGGGTAACTACCCCCAGAGCTATAAAAAAAGCAACAAGGATTTTAAAAAAAGGCTTAAAATAAAGGTGTTGGCCTCCGGCTGAGCTCCCTCTTATTTGACTTCACACTTCACCTACCTATTTACTTATACCTAATGTATGGGTAAAAAAAAAATATTACATTGCCTCCCCCGGGATTCTTCTCTAGAACCGCCCTTGGCAGGCTCCCTAATAATCTGAGACCATTAAATATGTTTCAATAAACCATTACGATTGATTGGAAATGACTGGAATGAGTATCTTGTCCACATTTTTTCATGCTTTTTCTATCACGTGTGTATAAAAAAATGGCTTTTTCTAGTTCAATGCTTGTTTGACTTACCCCAAAACATTTTCAATTAGTTCTTCAAATAATAACGGAAATAATTAGCAAAGATGTGATATATATGCTTTAAAACTCCAAAATTGATCAGTGTCTTTCTTGGCGAAACCGGAATGAAAAGCGAAGCGGAAGCCGTTGTTCGGTGTGAGTGTGGTACAAAAAACTATTAGGTTAGAATTCATTTGACATTTGGCGCGCTGTTTGAACGCCATCTTTTAGCAGTCGCTTTTAAGTGTGCATATTGCATATGCTCCAAGCACTCCAAGAACGTGCTGCTCTGAATCGCATTGCACCCGAACGCTGTTTTTTGAATATAAGAGCCGTTTTACAAAGTTTCTTCACGAAATAACTTACGAATGTTGCCGAAATATTTCGTAAGTCAACTTTTCCTGTTTTACACGACAAGAAAAACTTACGAATATTTCACAAATAAACTTTATACCGTTTTCTGTTGGTAAAACTCGTACTGCACTCATGCAAAAATTATGTTCTGTTGGCAGTTTCCGAGCGGGTTTTTATGTTCTATTGGAAAACCAGGGCAATCAATTATTGCCCTCGTGCAACTTTTCCAGCACGAGGTCAGAGAGCTCGTGCCAATGTCAGGGCACAACAAAAATGGCGTAAAGTGCCGAAAAGTCTGTGTATAATCAAAACCAAAAAATTATGGATATCGATATTGATAAAATTCTATATTTTTTATCTTCGTCGAGCGACAGCGATGAAGAGGAAGAATTATTAGGTCTGTTTCTGCAGAAATCACAAACCAGTCGGAGTGAATTTCATTGGTTGAACAGTCAGAAAACTAGTTTTAACTTAAAACTAGTTTTCTGACTGTTTCTGACTGTTTTCAACCAATGAAATTTATGGCGTTTTCCATTTGTTGCACAGAGGTGCACTCAGTGCAATTTTTATATTCCATTTGACTGCACATTTTCAGTTTTCATTTTCCATTTGAAATTCAGTGAAATTATTTGTGCACTCAGTGCGCATTTTTTGGCACGAGCTAGGAAGGCTCGTGGAGAGCCAGTGCAGTTTGTTTTGTTTATGTTTACATGTACCCTACATAAAAGTGTCTGCTAATTTCCAAAGAAAAAGTTGTTGCACTTTTGTATTTAATATCTGGCTGCAGCGAAGTTGAATTCGATGACGAAATTATATTATTTGAGCGAATTTCGCAGCTTATCCACGTTGTTTATAGGTATATTATTATTGTTCATTGTTGTTTAAAAATATTGTCTGATTCGCGAAGTACTCTAAATTATTTATAGATAGGTAGTCCAATTTCTTCCAAATTCAACGCGGTTGAAACCGCGGAGAAGAACTAGAAAAAGCTGTAATTTTAAATAAATGATCTGGACCATCGAACTAAATATTTATTATCTACGGATTTCTTCATTAATTCTGAAAGTACTGCTTTTCTTGCTTCAAGCAGATCTCAGCTGCTGACCGGCGTTCACTTGTCCCATAACTCCCATATAATAAGCTCATAAATAGCAGATCATCCTGATTTTTCGAGCAGGTAGCAAGTACAAATGAACAGCCTATATAAAACATGCAGAGCAGGAAGCAGAAACCGGCAAGTGCTAAACAAAAACAACAAACCAACATATGATTTTACATAACCCCATAAAAGTCTGAGGGGGAATCCGAGCCGAGCCTGCATTTTTGCTTTCCATTTATATTGCACTGGTGCGCGTTTTTGACAGCACTAGAAAAATTCTCGTGCGCACTGAATGCTGCACTGAGACGACAAATGGAAAACGCCATTAATCGGATCTATTATATTATATACAATCGCAGGCCTATGATGTATCATTTTCTGTTATTTTAGCAGCAACATCAAAATAGAGACAGAAATACCTAGATGTTGAGGCTTAACACAGACGTTGAAATAACAGGACAGAATACATCATAGGCCTGAATGTTTGCCAGGGATAATCAGATACCAAAAATTCAAAATTTTATTATTGAAATTGACATAAAAATTAATTTCAACGCAGGTATCATAGAAATTATTTCTGCGGGATGAATGTGGCTACTAAGCTGATGAAAAATATAGTGGTTTTAATGCCTGCCCCGTGTTCGAAATTTCCACAGAATGTTTCGCGGGAAAACTCGATTTCGAACTGTGATTATCGTCTGGCGATTTTTCAGCGTTATTTTTATAATAAAACCTTTTATTCTCTCGAATGCCAGAAAAAGTAAACGCGGAAGGTTCTTTTCTTTTCTTTTGGAAGTTGACACCCATCCCCACTTTCTCAGCTATTGAAAAGAAATCTGGTATTTTTCATGGGTGAATTATTTATCGATGTCAATCTTTTACTTAAAAGCCAGAAAATTTGAGATCATTAAAAAAAATTCTTCATGTAAATCATTTTTTTTCTTCTGCAAATTTTCGAACGGGAGGCAGGCGTTAAAATCACCCATATTCTCATCAGCTTAGTAGCCACATTCAGCCCTCAAAATGCCAGAAAAAAAAAATGACTCCACTAAACAGCCCCTATCTCACAGTCTATTGTATTCCTTTCACTCTTAAGAAAAGCTCCGGAACAGCTCCGGGGCCTTACGCACTTATTCCTTTCCAAAAGTTTTGTTGCACCTTGCACACGCATATGACGCATCTCTGCTGGTGCTCCAAGCAACTGTTGTGTAATTGGAACGCCCCCTTCTTTAAGCGACGTGTTTTTGATGCACCCAATGGATGCACCCATAAAATTACATGTGCTTGAGAGGGCAGGGAGAAGAAAAACAAACAGTTCAGTTGCACGAAACACTAATGCACTGGAACGCCTATAAACATAAACAGTCCGGGGCGCTCTAGAGCAGCTCAGGAGTGCTTTAAAGTGCTTCACTGGAAACCGACTCGGTTCCTTTCGAATCGGGGGCGACTAACACCGGAGCGGAGTAGCTCGAGTGCTAAACTCTTGAAAGGAATACGCTGGGTGTCAATAGTGGTATTCCTTTCAAGAGTTTGGAACACTCTAGCTACTCGTTCCGGTGTTAGTCGACCCCGATTTGATAGGAAGAGATGCGAGGTGCAACCAATGAACTATAGCTAAAAACTGGAATGCGCACACATTGCCATATCTGCCAAAAAAATGAAGCCATGAAAGACAGATGCCACAAATGGGAATGTTGTTTTTTTCTGTTGCTCGCTGACATATGACGTTTCCGAAAGTTTTGTCATATTTCCCTTCACAGGTTTCATCAATTGGCATACATGTTGGAAGCAATTTTCGCCATTTAACATAATGAGTGCGACAAAAACAGGTATCCCCTCCGCAGCAGCCGCACTAGGCTTCAAGTTCGTCCTTATGTGTTAGCATTCTAGTTTTTGGTTATAGTTCATTGGGTGCAACCAGAGCTGGGCAGTAGCCAGGGATGTGCGTCTACACGTAGACTTTCATTGTCTACTTTACGTGTAGACAATGTAGACAACGTGTCAACAATGTAAAATAATATAAATGACGTTTAATTCTGACCTCACACTTTCCTTTTTTTAAATTTTTTTTATTTTATTATTGGTTTTCCTGATATTTTATAATCAGTGAATGCTGATATCGAAGTGATAGCAATGTGTAGACAAATGCTCACGTAAACAATTCGAATTGTCTACGCGTAGACAATCAATTGTTTACGTTGACATTGTCTACAGGACAGGCATATCACTGGCAGTAGCTAGCTACCAAGTAGTTAAGCTACTAGCTTAGCTACTTTTTTGGTAGCTAATAACTTATTCAAGCTAATTTGAAAAAAAAGTAGCTTGTAGCTGTAGCTTTTGGTAATGTGTTTCAAGTATTCATAAGCTACTGTGAAAAGTAGCTAGCTACTAAAACAAGCTACTTAAGCTACTTTTGGTAGATTGTTAATAGTTAATTAGTATTAATGGCGGAAAGTGTCATTTACCGCTCGAGGGTGCGGTTAACGATACTCAACGCCCAAAATACTTATTACGTTTTATGCGCAGCGGACTCTTCTAGTTCAAAAATAAAATAACTCTACCTATATAATGACATCCATTCGACAAGTTTTCAAAAATAAACAGTTTTCCCCTTATAAAGGCACGTTTCCACCAACCTATCGCCCGCGTTTGAATTTACCGCTCGATGAAAGTAACTTTATACTTTAATTGCTCAAGCTACAATTATCATTTTCCGGAAAATTCTTATCCTGCCTTGCTTAAACTAGTTTCTAGTTATCTCTGTAGGTACCTATGTTTTATGTGTCCTATGTCCAGTGGTTTTTGACAAGAATATGAATACTACTTCTTAGAGAAAGTTAATATGTTATTTTCGTATGATGATATTATGAAATTAAATTAGGTAAGGCATGTACATACATTGATAAAAGTAGCTTAAATAGTAGCTTTCACTAATTCAAAAAGTAGTTAAGTTACTAATAATAGCTTAGCTACTTTTTCAAAGAGGTAGTTGAGCTACTGAGTAACTTAGTTACTTACAATATAAAGTAGCTTGTAGCTAGCTACTTTTTCCAAGTAGCTTGCCCAGCTCTGGGTGCAACAAACACTTTTCGAAAGGAATAAGCGCGTAACGCCCCGGAGCTGTTCCGGAGCTCGTCCTAGGCAGGGTTGCCAGATCTATGAAATGAAAAAGCGGGACTGATGTTATTCAGAGGGAAAGCTCGGGAATTTTTTTCGGGTGCCACGCCCAAAAGCATAAGTGGGGAGGGGAGGGGCAAGTGCCCAATGTAATGTTTTTTCACAAGGGTTCCTACTTCGTCTAATAGATGGCGCTTGAAAACGTGGATGAATACAGTGCCTCTATTACCGACAGTGGCGACAATTGCTGTCTTATTTTTGATTGGTTCTTAAAATCCCATATATTTATATTGAAAACGCCGCCATGATCTTGTTCCCAACCTTTTGTTCCTTTTAAATATGAATTTATGGGATTTAGGTGAACATCCATCATAAAACAGGGAAAACAACGTATTTGATAGACCTAATAATGATCATCAAATATGTCGATTTCAATTTTTTATGATAGATATCCATTTAAATGTTATATATCAATATTTAAAAGTAACAAGAAGTTGGGAACAAGATGGCGGCGGGACCTCTATTGTCGCCACTGTATGTAAAGGTTTATTTAGCCACTGTATGGATGAATCAAGACGCCATCTATAAAAAGTTCTCGTTTTTGATTAATTTTATTACTATTATTTTGCTTTTATTACATTATATCATTGTATATTATAATTGGATTTGAAAGAATGTTTTTAACACGTAAAATCCTAATCATTCACTTTCGTCAGTAGATATTTTATCACTATACTTACTATAGTGACGAAAGTGACGTTTTCGGCTAAGGTGAAATATGACGAAAGTTGTTTATTTTTCAATGGCCAGAAAAAAAGTTTTTTGCAGATGCTAGTTTGCGCAATGAAAGATTTGGATTTTTTTGGAATTTTTGACATTTTTATACCTACAACATTAAATGTTGTATTAATAATAAATTTTATTATTGAAACATTTGAAACCCAAGAATCGTAAACTAACAGGATTGCTCATCCTGAGAAGGCGTACGTTCGCCGGTTCTCGAATCCCCCAGCTATGCGAGTGACGTCACCACGTCAGCAGCTAATAGTGGTGACGTCACCCGCAGACCTCGATGAAATGCTTGCGCTTCAGGCTCGTTATTTGATTTTTGCGTCGATTTTAAATGAAGAAATAGCTATTTATGTAACAAGTTGTAAAATAAGCGTGTTTTTTGCACTAAATGTGAAGATTGGGTGGAAAAAGCGGGAAAACTGGGACAATTCACGTGGAAAGCGGGACCTGAAATTAATAAAAAAAAAGCGGGACCGATTAACAAAATGCGGGACTGTCCCTCCTAAGGTGGGACGTCTGGCAACCCTGGTCTTAGGTGTGAAAGGAATACAACTATTGAGGCGTTTTCTCGCGTCTCAAATGTTTCAAAACATATTTCAAAACTGGTTTAAGTAATGTCACCATGACGTCATTATTTCTCGGCGCGAGATAATGGTTCGAAAACGTGGATTGGATTGTATTTCGAAACGGTTTGAACCAATTTTGACGTGACGTCATGGGCTTATCGCGAGAATGTACTGTTACTGTTTCAAAACAGTTTTGAACCAGTTTCAAAAAAGTGGACACGAGAAAAGCCTTTAACCCTTTTCACGTGGCTCCGGTTTAACAAACCGCAACATACCGCTCAAATTCGAGTGGTATCGATCACTTCACTTTGTAACCGGATTAGAAAACGGTATGTCATACTTGACATACCGCTACTAACCGTTTTATAACCCGGTTAGTTTAAACCGGACCACGTGAAAAGGACTTTTGGTGTCAGTTTATATGGTTGTGTCAATACTGTCAATGCCAAAGTTTTGTGTTTGTTGTTTTGATCCTTGGTTTTGTTGACGTTGTTGTGTTTTGGTTTTGTGTTTGTATTTAGAATGTGAATTTCTATTCCTGTATTGTGAATTGTGATTGTGTATTTTTATTTTCATGGATTCAATATTATACAATTGTGAGTAACAATAAACTATCTTCACATTTATGCAGTTTTCGTCCAATAAAACCAACAGCAGCTTTTCCAGTGAATGTTTAAACAAGAGATTACAGCAATACTCCAGTAAGTCCAGTACCTGCTTGGTGTCGCTAGCCCCATTATCAAATATTTTTCATAAAATCTCAAACAACATGTACTTTTCCTTCTGGTGGGTCTTCACCTATTACCTAAGGCCCATCATTAAATGGTTTCTACGTAAAACAACGGGCCTGTGTGAACTTCAAAGGATTTGCTATGGTGAAGTTAGTGGAGCTCCTAGGGTCAAAGCAGTGGAGCAGTCTCTAAATTCATCTAGATCCAAGCAGATTCGACAATTGATTGATCATTTGAATGATATTGCTGAAAATAGACGATTTACTGGGGCTAATGAAAGGGAAATATTAAAAGGTAACTTGTTTTACTACTTTACTTAGTTTACAATCTCCATGTATTATTTATTTATTTATTTATTTGCACATACATGACATACATATTTAGTTTGAAAAACAATATAAATATTTGAGAAAAGATATTGTCCGTCATTTTTAATCTGACATTTTTTGTATGAGGAGCGAGGGAGTGAAGTACATATAAGGCAAAAACAGGTGTGACGTCAGGTGACCATTGGTGTTGTAATGTACAGTGCCACCAGCTCACATTCCTTCCGAGTATCAGATTAAAATCGACAGACTTTATATTCTTAGCCTTCTTACCTATACCTAGATGTTTGCACCACTTGTTGCTGTAGGTACGGTCATCAGCGCAGTAGTCGCAGAATATTTTCTTGGTACAGTTTATTGTTAATGTGATACAGTTCTGGACAATCATCTCCGAATAGTTTAGTCCTCTAGGACAGGGTATCAGCTCTACTTGATATGAATCTTCTTATGCTATGTAATAATTTGTGGAAAAGACTGGCTGAACACCCTGCGAGAATTGTCCGCTGTATAGTATATATTATCCGTTCCCAATCCGATGTCCACAGGTAGGTACAGGGTACAGGTAAAATCACCTTTCAATGGTAGTAGTAAACAATATTTATTGAACTAATTGTTCAAAGGGCCATCGACCGAGGTCTTTCAGCCTTTGATATCTACAATTTTATATGTATTTACAAAATTTGCTAAGTATAAGTATAAAACACACAAATCCACATGCGATGGAGAAAAAAAAAAAAAAAATTAAATGAACAATGCAAGTACGTACTACACAACTATGTACTTATGTTAGGTTTTTACAGTCTATTATTTTGTATAATTTGGAAAACAGTTTCTTCTGGATATTGTCTTTTCCTGATAAGGCCTTGTGGAATTTCCAAAATGAATGGACTGATTATGTTGGATGGTCTGCTGCCAAACTTCTCGGTAAGACTTTGAAATCTTTGAATGATTGGTTCAATTTCAGTTTTTTGATACAACATTTCGTTTGATGGATTATGAAGCGGGTTTGTAGGATGTCTAATTTTTGTAATTTTACGGAGACTAGTTCTTTCTGCAGTTTCTATCATCTGGATGGCAGGTCCTCTACAAGCACTGAAAATTATTTGTCCGTATTCCAAAATTGGTCTGCATATTGTTGTGTAGATGTGACATGCAGTTTTGATGTTAATACCCTCGTCCTTGTATGTTAGGTTTCTAAAATGCTTGCTCCTTATTATTGTCTTTTTCTTCATCGTTGACAGGTGATTTATTGTCGAAATGGATACCCAAGTATTTGATGCTTTCAATGCTATTTGATTGGGAAAGGTGATAAATTTACCTGCACCTGTGGACATCGGATTGTGAACAGGATATAAGTAATTTGGTGTCATCCTCTTTCAAGTAACGAATACATGAAAATTTAGTGAGAATTTTAGTATAGTGATTGATCATCTCATGTCTCAGAGCATTAAATTTGAAAAGACATTTTTGTACATTTTGCTACATGAACATTTTTCCTATTTATATAATTTAAAATATGCTTTTACCATACCCAATAATTTTGAGCAAGTTTCGAGCCTATGGATTTATCATGTTTCTTTTTTTTGTTCTTTTTTTCAGGGGCAGTAAGTACAGTTCTAATAGTCAAAAAAATAAACCCAAAAATCCACTATCAATTTGTAATTGCGTTTGGAAAATGCGTAGAACAAATTTGGGGCTACAAGCAGCTACTGGCAGAGGTAGAACAGTTGAGACAGGCACAATTTGATAGCGACGATTTGAATCATGAAAGAAAATTATACGAGTTATGGGAAAATTTGATGCCTAACGAAAAATTAGAAGGTAATTGTATTTTAAATGTAAATTGAGATGCTTATCAATATATTTTGAAAGTAGTATAAATAGATAATGCCTCTATTTCAAATCAGATCAAAATATGCTTTATTGTAAAAGGAGTAAAAATCTTGTCTACAAAGCAGTTACTTAGTGAATATAAAACGAAAAAAATATGTTACGAAATACAAATGATAAAATTTAAAAGTACATATAATTGAAAATACAAATAAAATTACAAGTTAAAATATCAATTAAACTAAAAACAAAAACGAAAAGAAAAACAAAAAGCAGAGAATACCTGGCAAAAAAAAAAAAAACTACAAATCGTCATTAAAATACTCCTCCAGGCTGTAATAAGACTTTGTCGTTAAAACATTCTACACCAGCCTCCAGAGCCGCGAGTATGGTAACCGTCTGTACTTGGTGCCTAAATCTTTATAAATCTTGAGGTTATCATATACATGTATGTATAATAGACTTCTTATTAAGGGCCAGTCTGGGAATAGGGAGACGCAAAGTTTGGTTTGCTTCTAATCTTGTATTATGTAATCGATCAGGGACCTCCATATAGGATTTTTTGTGAATCACTGTTTAAAGGATACATAGAGATACTACTGTCAAAATTCCTTGCCAGATACATAGTGGTCTGCAATGTTCCCGGATTCCCGCACCCGGCACATGAATCGTATGGCTTTCTTCTGCAGAACAAAAATGGAATTAAATAATTGTTGGTTGCAAAAGCCGTAGAGAGCATCACACCAACCCTTAATTATTGGCACTTCCGAGTTTATCATTCCTTTAAGATTATCACTTGTTTTCGCATGCCATAGAAGAGTAGTGTCATCAGCAAAGAGAGTAAACTTCCCCCGAATATTAACAGGGTTGGCAGGATATATCTCAGTGATAAATATCTTGATATATATCTTGATGAATATCATGATATTTATGCTATAAATATCTTGATATATATCAATAATATGTATTTGTATGGCCTTTTTTTTTCTATTTTATAGTTTTATTATTTTATTTATGAGAAGGAAATTACAGCGATTTTATTTATCTTTATTTGTGTATAGGTATAAGAAATATTAGGTTTTTAGGGCGGGTATCATGAAACTATTTTGACAGATACCTAAAAGCTAACTTCTGGAATTACTGGAAGTAACATCATTCCAGAAGTTGACTTCTAATTATTCTGTCAAAATAGTTTTATAATAGCCGCCCTAAGTTGTAGATTTCTTAAAATTAAAAATATAAATAAATATCCAAATTTTGATATACCGGGTGTCTACGAGATCAGTTTTTGGTATGGAGTGTAGGTTTGAGAAATGTCATCTTTTGACATGTGTGTCAATGTTTGGTAACTTCCGGTTTGACCGGAAATGGTTCTAACTCCGTAATTTTGAATGGCATCCAAATAATTTTTTCACATTTTTGGTATCTGCGGATCATGATGTGTACGAAAACCTCAAATTTGAACATTTTTGAAGAAATTTCAGAACTCTGGATGAAAATTTTGAACAGGAAGTGACGGAGCGGTCTTAAAATTGTTAATTTCAACCAACACAATCGTAGAAAAATGCGAATGCCAAGTTATTATCCTATGCTTGTTCTCCAAAGGCTTCCAAAGCTGAAAAAATCACATTTTACGTGATAACTCAATGAAATCAGTGAAATCACCCGACTTTCATAACAAATGTTTTTTACCTTTTTCAAAATAAAACCAACTATGCATTAAAACTTTTTATTCATGCCAGTTTTTAATTATTTTTCCAATATTTTTACTATGCATTACTATAACTGATAAAACTACTTATAAATAAACCCCTGTATTCAAACTTTGTATTTACAAATTCCCAAGATGTCAAACAATGACAAATAAACATATCTTGCCCACAGATCTTGTCAATGGCTTGTCAAGAAAAAAAAAACACCAGCTCCTTTTGGAAAGCGTTCTTCATACAGGGGTTCATTTATAAGTAGTTTTATCATTCATAGTAGTGCATTATAAACATAATAAGAAAATAATTAAAAACTAACATAAATGAAAAGTTTCAATGCATAGTTGGTTTTATTTTGAAAAAGGTAAAAAACTCTTGTTGTGAAAGTTGGGTGATTTCACTGATTTCATTATAAATTTTCAGCCAGAGTTCTAAAATTTCTACAAAAATGTTCAAATTTGACGTTTTCGTACACATCGTGATCCGCAGATACCAAAAATGCGAAAAAATTATTGGGATGCGATTCAAAATTACGGAGTTAGGACCATTTCCGGTCAAACCGGAAGTTACCAAACATTGACACACATGTCAAAATATGACATTTCTCAAACCTACACTCTATACCAAAAATCTTTGCCATCGAAAAAAAAACAAGCAAATGCCAGCGCGAAACTGATCTCGTAGACACCCAGTATATCCGATATATATCGATATATGTTGGATAATTGGATATTTATATAAATATCATGATATTTACCAACCCTGAATATTAATCATCGCAAGGTCATTAATATACCGGGTGTCTACGAGATTAGTTTCGCGCTGGCATTTGCTGGGTTTTTTTTCAATGGCAAAGATTTTTGGTATAGAATATAGGTTTGAGAAATGTCATCTTTTGACATATGTGTCAATGTTTGGTAACTTCCGGTTTGACTGGAAATGGCCCTAACTTCGTAATTTCAAATGGCATCCCAAGAATTTTTTCGCATTTTTAGGATCTGCGGATCATGATGTGTATGAAAACGTCAAATTTGAACATTTTTGAAGAAACTTAAGAATTCTGGATCAAAATTTATTTTTGAATAGAAAGTGACAGAATGGCCTTTAAACTGTTTTTTTCAACTCACACGATCGTAGAAAAATGCGAATGCCAAGTTGTTATCATTTGCTTGTTCTCCAAAGGCTTCCAAAGTTGAAAAAATCACATTTTACGTGATAACTCAATGAAATCAGTGAAATCACCCAACTTTCACAACAAGAGATTTTTACCTTTTTCAAAATAAAATCAACTATGCATTAGAACTTTTCATTTTTGCCAGTTTTCAATTATTTTCTCATTCTTTTTATTATGCACTACTATAAATGATGAAACTACTGATTAATGAACCCCTATATGAAAAAACGCTGTCTAAAAGGAGCTGGTGTTTTTTTTTTTACTTGTCAAGCCATTGACAAGATATGTTTGTTTGCATAGACATTTGTCATTGTTTGGCATCTCGGGAATTTGTAAATACAAAGTTTGAATACAGGGGCTCATTTATAAGTAGTTTTATCTTATCATTTATAGTTGTGCATAATAAAAATAATTAAAAAATGGCATAAATGAAAAGTTTCAATGCATAGTTACTTTTATTATGAAAAAGGTAAAAAACTCTTGTTGTGAAAGTTGGGTGATTTCACTGATTTCATTGATTTATCACGTAAAATGTGATTTTTACAACTTTGGAAGCCTTTGGAGAACAAGCAAAGGATAACAACATGGCATTCGTATTTTTCTACGATCGTGTGATTTGAAAAAAACAATTTAAAGACCATTTTATTACTTCCTCTTTAAAAATAAATTTTGATCCAGAATTCTAAAGTTTTTTCAAAAATGTTCAAATTTGACGTTTTCCTCGACGTTTTCATACACATCATGATCCGCAGATCCCAAAAATGCGAAAAAATTCTTAGGATGCCATTCGAAATTACGAAGTTAGGGCCATTTCTAGTCAAACCGGAAGTTACCAAACATTGACATATATGTCAAAAGATGACATTTCTCAAACCTATACTCTATACCAAAAATCTTTGCCATTGAAAAAAAACCCAGCAAATGCCAGCACGAAACTAATCTCGTAGACACCCGGTATATATTAAAAACAACAGGTCCCCATACGGATCCCTGCGGCACACCCGAGGGTTCAACCACTTCCCGAAATACGTGTACCTACACTTGGCCTGAATTACCTGCAAAATACTTCGAAGTACCTAGAAATACCACGAAGTACATCGAAATACCAGGAATTCCTGTCGAAGTACGCGAAATCCCATGAAAATACCCCCGAATTATCGCGCGATATCCAGAAATACTAAAAAATTCTCATTGATAGCGAGTCTTCTTGTGGATCGTGGTAGAGAATTTTTGCTCGAATTTTTTCTTTTGATATGATAGAATCTATTAGGAGGACACACAAAATTCAGATAATTAAATCCTCGATCAAACCAATAGTTAGTGATGTGATGCAGTTGAATGTTCTACAAGGCTGTTAGATACTTACTTATATTAACTCACTGACATTGATTACTTAAACATATCAGGAATATTTTTCCACTTGTTTCAACTAATCTACGTAAATCCAAATTCTGTTTAGCCTGTCCATTCTATAATATTATTGTAATTTTAGGTGATAAGAAATTAACTGTTCTCGGTACACGAAAAAGGTATTTCTAAATAGCTCGAAATACCTCGGGTCACCGCGAAATATTTCGAATTACCCCGAAATACCATAAATATCCTCGAAATCCCACAAAATACTTCGAAGTACTACACAATACCGCAAAAAACTAGGTACGAATTACCATCGAAATCTTCACCGAAAAACTTGGAATTTCCCGAAGTACTAGCGAAATACCGACATTTTGGCAATACGTGTACACATTTTTACAGGATGGTTGACCCCTCGGGCACACCATACTGATATACCAGGGGTGCTGACTCTCACTGCCAACTCTTACCACCTGGACCCTGTCTGAAAGATATGTTCTGAACCATTGATTAGCTGTTCCCCGTATACCATAGTAGTGAAGTTTCCGCAGCAGCACCTCCCGATTCATGCAGTCAAAGGCCTTTGAAAAATCGCAAAACACTGCTGCAGCCACATTCGCCACTATTCAGACTTGTGTAAAGTCTCCAGAAGCGAAAAGACTGCATTGAGAGGCGGTTATAATAATCAATGCTGATAGAAAGTGAACCAGCCTCGATTTTACTTGCTTCTCAACAACCTTCAAAAGAGTGGCAAGCAG